CAGGGGAGGGTCAGAGAGAGAGGGAGTCACAGACTGAAACAGGCTCCAGGCTCTGAGCTGGCAGTCAGCACAGAGCCCGACGCGGGGCTCGAACCCACGAACCGCGAGATCATGACCTAAGCGAAAGTCAGACGCTTAACCGACTAAGCCACCCAGGTGCCCCTGATTCTACTTCCTAACGGTCTCTCATGGTCATCCGATTGGTCCCCTCCACTCCATGCCAAGCCACCATCACCTCTCGCTCACGCATGGGCGACAGTCTCTCCGGTGGCCTTCCTGCCCCTCTATCGACGCTCTAATTACATTCCTCACCCTGAAGCCTGGGATGCCCTTCAAAAATGTGCATCTACTTACAACGTCCCTCTGCTGCAACTCTGACAAGGCCACCGTCCTAGAAAGACGAGTGTCTTTCCCAGGCTTACAAGCCCCGCCTCCCTCGTCTCCTCCCATCCGGCTCTCTGCTCCAGAAACACTGGCCTTTCTGATGTCCCCTGCCCTGCTCCGTCTCCCTTTGCAGCCCCTGTACTTCCCCAGCGGTCGACACCCTTTCCTTCAAAGGGCTGACTGCAATTTGTAATTATGCTTATTTCTGCAATTACTTATAACTATCTCTGCCAAGAGGTCAGAGGTCATATCTGTTCCTTAGCCACTGTACCGGTGGTACCATTCCCAGGCCTTGGTACATGGAAGGAAATAAATGCGGACACTTAAAGCTTACCTAATGGAGCGGTACACCTTAAACTCGTATGGTGTTTATGTAATGTAAATTATATCTCAATAAAAATAATTTTTAAAAAGAGCATGAAATGGGGGAGAAAAGTTAAGTAATGGGATATTTAATGTCATTTATGTCATTCTATGTACTAAAAACTACCCCCAATCAGAAGTATACAGAGGTCATTTATATGCAAATATACACGAATATATTTCTATGATCCTATGAATATATTCAATAGCATAAATAATCCTAAAGTAAAGTTTATAATCTCTTAATTATAATGCAAATGTGAAATAATGGAATCAACCTCCGTATTAATCAGTTGGTGCTATATGCAGAAAACAATTACTATTAACCATGGATCAAGTATCAGTTGGCCCAAAGAAGCCCAAAGATGCTCGATATCATTAGTCATTAGTGAAATGCAAGTCACACTGTCCAGGATGACTATAATGAAAATAAGCGTTGGCAAGGATGTAGAGAAACTGGAACGCTCATATGTCGCTGCTGGGAATGTAAAATATACAACTGCCTTTAGAAAACAGTTTGCCAGTTCCTCAAAAAGTTAAGCCTCGAGTTACTGTCTGTCATAGGCTGAATAATGGCCCTCCCAAGGTATCAGGTCCTAATCCCCATAAATGTGACCTTATTTGAAAAAGAAAAAAAAAGAGCCTTTACAAATATGATTAGGTCAAGGACCTTGAGATGGACAGCTGGCCTGAAGCATCTGGGTGGGCCCTAAATGCAAACACGTGTATCCTTACGAGCGTCTAGAAACAAACCCTCACCTTCACAGTCAGTTGATTTTGATAAAGGTACTAAGACAAGTCAATAGTCATTCAACGAATGGTTCTGGAATAACTGGATATCCAAAGGAAGAGAATGAAACTGGATCCCTTAAAAATGGTTAAAATGGTCATTTTAATGTGTACCCTACCGTGAACACAAACACTTGTACGTGAAGGTTTCTAGCAGCATCATTCATAACAGACCAGGACGACAAGTCCTCACCAACTGATGGGTGGGTAAACAAGGAGTGGTATATGCATACAATGAAACGTTACTTGCCAAGAAAAAGGAATTAAGGGCTGACTCCTGCTACCACATGGACACACCTCGACAGCGTTGTGTTTGCTTGTAGAGAGAGGATTCGTTGGGTCACGGGGAGAGGGAATTTTACTCTTCTGTTCTATGTAGAACAATGCGCATATACTACGTGGTAAAAGAACAACACCTAAGCAGTGCTACAGTGCCAGACGGGGCCCCCAGACTGGCACTATTTACTCACCAATGGAATGTCGAAGCTCGCTGCACTGGCTGACAAGGGGCAGCTTCAGCATTTCCCTCCATTTTCTACTACGACCACTTTTTTTGCCATATCCTCCTAAGTTTGGGGGGAAAAATATTTTTTTAATGAAAATACAGTCTCTAAATTATTGGTCTTATCTACAACACTGCTTGACAAAACATGAAAATCCCAAATGATACAATGAGTTACCGGCTCTATCATTTAGAAACCGTGTGACCTTGACCTTCTATAAGTAATCCTGCTGAACCTCAGCTTCCAAATTTGTAAGCTGGACCTAACACGTCATACATGGTTGCATATCTACTATGGCTCAAACGCCTGCAAAGTACAGGAAATACAATGGTAAAAAGGACAACAACCCTCCCCTCCAATCTAGTGTGGGAGATTTGAAAAAAAAAAAAACACCAAAAAAGCAGTTAATGATAAGTGATTAAAAAATTAGCCAATCGTACAGCGCTAAGTGGTATGAAACAAAATCAAGCAAGGTGAAGGTGAAGGGCACAATTAAGGCTGAGGTGAGCTGGGAGAAGGCATCTTAAGAGGGTTGCACTTGGGCAGAGGCGGGAGGACGGGAAGGAGGGAGCCTCTGGAAGACACAGACAAAGAGCGTCCCCTAGTGAGACAAGATGGTGGGAAAAGCTATTAGGTCATATTTTTTTTTTTTTTAAATATTTTTATTTATTTCTAGGAGAGAGAGAGAGAGAGAGACAGCGTGAGCAGGGGAGGGTCAGAGAGAGAGGGAGTCACAGACTGAAACAGGCTCCAGGCTCTGAGCTGGCAGTCAGCACAGAGCCCGACGCGGGGCTCGAACCCACAAACCACGAGATCATGACCTAAGCGAAAGTCGGACGCTTAACCGACTAAGCCACCCAGGCGCCCCTATTAGGTCATATTTTTAAAAAAAATTTTTTTAATGTTCATTTTTGAGAGAGAAAGACAAAGTGCAAGTGGAGGAGGGGCAGAGAGAGAGGGAGACAGAATCCAAAGCAGGCTCCAGGCTCTGAGCTGTCAGCACAGAGCCCCACGCGGGGCTTGAACCTAGGAACATGAGATCATGACATGAGCAGAAGTCGAGCGCTTAACCAACTGAGCCCCCCGGGTACCCCTATTAGGCTGTATTTTTAGCAGACGGCAGCCATGCTTGAGGTAAGCAGAGCAGAGAGAGATACTGAGTCTCTATGTTGTTTGTACATCTGAAACTAAGGTAATGTTGTGTGTCAAGTATACTCAAATAAAACTTTTTAAAAAATAAGTAACATAAAAATCTAAAAAGATTTTAGAAATATCTTTTTAAATAAGCGCCTTTAAAAAAAAACTTGGAACACCTGGGTGACTCAGTCAGTTAAGCATCCAACTTCAGCTCAGGTCATGATCTCATGGTTTGTGGGTTCGAGCCCCGCTTTGGACTCTGTGCTGACAGCTCAGAGCCTGGAGCCTGCTTTGGATTCTGTGTCTCGCTCCCTCTCTGCCCCTCGCCCACTTGCTCTCTGTCTCTGTCTCTCTCTCTCTCAAAATTAAACATTAAAAATAAAACCTTGGAGAAATTAGAACCCTCAATTTTAAGCATTCTGAGGAGTTGAAATTTTATCAAATTTTGTCCAAGAGAAAACAGCACAGTTTGGGTCAGTGACTGAAAGACTCCAGGGCTACTGAAAAGAAGAGAAATCTGGGGGAATGCCGCGTTCGGGAAGTGGGGCCCTGCCTGAAGCACGTGAGCAGAGAACTGAGAGAGCCATGGAGGGTGGCCGCACGGCTGACTCCGGAGAGAAGGCCCGGCTGGACTACGGATCGGACACGAATCTGCCACACAGATGATGGTTGGAGACGCAGGGGCTTCTTCTGTGGCCGGTTTGCTCCTCTGCTTACGCCCTCCCCTGCCCCATTTCAACTGGGATCGTGACTCTAGACTTCTATCCCACTGCACAGAGGCCCCAGAGAACCTCAAGGTCAACATGTTCAAATCAGACTCAATTTATCTTCCCCTCGAATTCAACCGTCCTTCCACACGCTGTGCCTCGAGCGGACCGTCCCCCACGTACCAGGCGAACGGAGCTGGGAACCACGGCACTAATCCTCTCTCTGAAGTGCCCCCACCCATTTATCCAGACAGCATTTGCACCGAAGTCCCGTGTGCTGGGCACCGTCCGGGCACCAGGCACACAGCAGAGGGCCGGGTGGCCAGCGCTGCCTTGAGGTGCTCCTGCCCTACTCGCCTTGCCCACGCTATTAAACTCATTAGCCTCTTCTTCGGACCGGCCTTCCTACCTCTGGTCTCCCCTTCCGGACCCTCCTCCACACTGCCTCCCACGGTCACTTTCCTAAAATGCAAGTGCCAGCCCACTCCTGAGTCTAGGGAGGACGGAGAATAGAGCACAGCCCCGCCCGCCATCTCGCCACAGGCAGCCATCTCCAAGCCGCACTATCTACAAAGGCCCCAAAGAAGCCAAGGTGGGCTCCACCCCGGACGGTCACTCTGGGCTCAGCAGTGTAGGCAAACCTCTACTCAGCTCAGGCAGGGCCACCCCCACCAAGCCTGCCCCGCCTTCCTAGGGAGATACAGGGACTCCTTCCTCTTCATTCCTTTTGCATCTTGAACACATCTTCATTAAATCTCCGTGATGGCAGGTTCTAGGTTCGTGGTCTAACTCCCAATGTATCTCCAGCATTTAAAAAATGATTGAAGGAATAAATAAATGGGCCTCCTGGTGCCCAGCACACTCCGAGCGGTACTGCAACCGCAGACACTAAAGGCAAAAACTGGAGATGCTGACTACAGAGCATGGGTCAGAGGGAGGATGAAACTCCCAAGGTCTAAGAGGAGGGGGAGGAAGTTAGTTTACTGAGTACTTATGTGCTGGGTACCTTTCTAGGAGCTTCATATATATATTGATTCATTGAATCATCCCTCATCCTATGATGAAAGCACTACTACTATTCCCTTTTTTCGGATAAGGGACCAAAGCAAACAGGTCACATAACTTGTCCAACATCACACAACCAGTGAGATGGGGGGGGGTGCCCCACTTCAGGAATCCTGCTTAATCATTACTGCTATTAAGAAGACAAATGGTGTGACCAAAGCCTTTTTTTAAAAGTACACAAACATTTAAAATAAATTGTTTGCCAGAAACACATCTAGAAGTTATGCTGTGAAATACAAATACGAAGCCAAAACTTCCCAAATGTCGGAAGCAGTCATGGTGACAGCCCTCATCAGCGCTGACTGCGGCCAGCTGCGCCGCTGCAAGGTCCCGGTCTGCTCTCACTAGACCCTCCCATCAGCCCTACGAGGTGGGTACTGCTTCCATGTTATAATCCTAATCTTCCAGCTGAGGAAACTGAGGCACAGAGTTGTGAAATAATTTGTCCAAAGCATTATAAGCAGCAAACAGAGAAGCTGGGATTTGAGCCCATGTAATCACACTGACCAAATGGGGACATTGACACCCCCTTTGTCATAATAGCTCAGTTTTTCTACCTGTGATTAGGACCACACTAAGGTAAATGCATCAGGTGAGAAAGAACTAGATTGACTAGCTCTCTGGTCTACAAATTCTGCTGGATATTAAGGGGTTTAGGACTTGGCTTTCTACTATGAATACCGTAATTATTCTTATAACATATTCTGGGATATCATATACTATCCCTAGTCCTAGACCCACAGAAGCAAGCACAATTATTAATTTGGTGTGTGTTATCCCAATCCATTTGTAAATTTGTGTGTGTGTGTGTGAACGTGCACGTGTGCGTGGTAACCTTGAAAAAAATATTGCTTTAGAGGAAGATTCTTTTTTATTTTTTTTGTTTGTATCTATTTTTGAGAGAGAGAGAGAGAGAGAGACAGAGCACGAGTGGGGGAGGGGCAGAGAGGAAGACACAAAGTCTGAAGCAGGCTCCAGGCTCTGAGCTGTCAGCACAGAGCCCAACGTGGGGCTCGATCCCACAAACCATGAGATCATGACCTGAGCCGAAGTCGGATGCTCAACCAACTAAACCACGCAGGTGCCCCAGGGGAAAATTCTTAACCTGGCATCCACAGCCTGATATCAAAGTTTCCCTGAATTTGGACAGAAAAAAACCTTCACGGTTGGCTTCACTAACTTCTAACCAAAACTCACCATTTCTGTCAGCCATAAGTGTAGGTAAGAGAACCTCAGCATTAGCAGTGCCTGCGACTTCATCACCAAGAGGATTCAGGTTTTTCTGTGATGTTACGGTTGCCAGAAATAACTCGAAATGTCATTCACACTCGTATTACTGCTTTGAAATTACAATATTGGTGCCAGATGGTCTGCAAGGGCTCAGGTGACGGGGCCAAGCAACCCCTGGGCAGCTCGCTCTGTGCCTTGTAGCTCGTTGTTCAGGCTCCAAATGGCAGGTCCCGCGCCCTCGCGCGCACGGTCTAGCTGCGCGCCCTGCTCGCTGTGACTCCCTCAGCACAGCTGAGGGACACAGGGAAGCGGCTGAGCCAGAGGCCACCCCTCAGCTCCAAAGCCCCGTCAGACTACGCAGTGAGAGCCTTCACACTGACAGAGCTTTAAGGACGAGACTTACACTTGCTCGGTCTTGCCCTGTTACTCAGTGCTCTGGGAACGAAGCACTTCTTACAACACAAATCTGTTAAGAAAGCTTACAATTATCTGAATATAATTGACTTCTTTTACAATCATGTGCATATTACTTTATTTAGATTAAGAACCCCTACTCTAGAGGTTGTTAAGTGCATACACCACCCTACAATTTCATTCTTTTCTGCACAGCTCAGGCCATTTTGACACAGATTATTCACTTTGTCCCAGGTGGGCCCCATGCTGCTCCCACCCCCCAGCTCCCAGCCTCATGACCTTTGCCTTCCCTGTTTCACAGCCCAAAAAGCTCTTCCTCAGCAAAGCTAGACCTCTCATGCCCTCAGGTCTTTTCTCCTGGCCATCCAATCTGAGCTTCCATGGCCTACCCCCATGCCCACCCTTCGCAGCCCCATCTCTGCTTTACTATGTCTTCTTAACCCTTGTCACCGTCTACCATACAATCTACTTCACGTATCCTATTGAGTGAGGACCTGTCTCTTCACAAGA